TTCGACACCTTGGCAAATGAGACAGCGTCCCTGATTCTTGATCGTCAACAGATGTCAGAACTCCAGATTCTTTCTCTCATTTGAGTGAAACGTGATATTACAAGCATAACTCTTTCTATTCTTCTTTGGGAGACCTGAATAGCGTTCTCATCTTGTTTGCGTAGGGCCCAGGTCTCTGAGGCATATGTGAATGCAGGAAGAACAGTGGAATCAAAGAGATGTGCCCGGAGCCGGAGGTTCTTCGTCCTCTTAGCTATTTCTTCGACGTTATTGAAGGCGTTCTAAGCCGCTCTCTTCCTCCTGCGCAGCTCGGGTGCCAGGTCATTTGTCATGTTGACCTCTCGACCTAGGTACACATAGCTGTTGCATTTGGAGATGGTCGTTCCGTTGAGAGCGAATGGGGTGTCAGGAACGAGGCTGTTTCTCATAAACATTGTCTTCGTAAGATTCAGCTGTAGTCCTACCTTTCCACACTCACGGTCAAAGTCGGCCAGCATTTGTGCCGCTTGGCTGATGTTTGGTGTTATTAAAACAATGTCATCAGCAAAGCGGAGGTGGTGTAGTTGCTGACCATCTATCTTCAGTTCCATTCCTTCCCATTCCAGTCGTCACATGATGTTCTCGAGGGTGGCATTGAAGAGTTTCGGTGAAATGGTATCATCCTGCCGCACCCCTCTCTTGACATCAGCGATCACTTCTTTGTAGACTGGTGAGATCCTGGTAGTGAATCCGCAATACAGCCCACGGAGGAACCTGATGTATTGGGCTTGAATGCCCTGATTGGCTAGGGCTTCAATGACCGCTTCCGTCTCAACAGAATCAAAGGCCTTCTTTAAATCAATGAACGTTAAACAAAGCGGCATCTTGAACTCCCGAGAAACCTCAATGAGTTTGGTTATCGTGTGGATATGGTCGATGGTGCTGAATCCTTTACGGAACCTGGCTTGCTCGCAATGTTGTCCTTCATCTAGTGTTCTGCCAATCCTATTTAGGATGACTTGAGTGAACAACTTGTAGATGACAGACAATAGGCAGATCGGGCGATAGTTGCCAATGTCATGGATGTCTCCCTTCTTGAACAGTAGTACGGTCCTGCTGGTTTTCCACTGGGACGGAACCTTACATTCAGACAGGTAGCGAATGAAGAGCCAAGCCAGTGTAATGATGTGTACTGACGGCAGGTTCTTCAGGTGTTCAGGTCTGACCTTCTCTGGGCCGGGTGCTGTTTGTTTCTTTACCGATGAAATGGCATATCGGATTTCGGAAGGGAGAACATTGGGAACAACATATCCATCCTGTGGAATTTGGTATGTCGGCAAGTGGACATGGCTATCGAAGAGATTTGAGTAGAAGTCATGGATAATCTTCTCCATTGCCGTTCTGGAGGATGTGATGGATCCATCAGGACGTCGGAGGGCAGTCATCTTGGTCTTGTAGTTGGCGAAGGACAGGCGGGCATTACAAATACTTTTCCCGGCTTCTTCCGCATCTACCAGTACTTCTGCTCTTCTCTCCTTGAGGTCTTCCTTGATCGCATCTCTGCACTGCTTTGCGAGCTCGGACGTTAGCTTGTGGTTGCCTGAGGCATGCGCCAAACTACGCTGGCGAATTATCTCAAGAGTTTTTGAAGATACGCCATTTTTTGTGGCTATCTCTCTCTTGGCGTTCATGGAGGTGCTGAACCAGTCAATCGTATTCCTTGTCTATGTTGTCAACAATGGTATCTTCCCATGTTGCCGCAATAGTACCAAAGAGTTCCCAGTTGGTGGTCATTCTGGGAGTTCTCTTTTTGAACTTTGCAGCCCTTTCTCCCAGCTCTGTGAAGTAGAATTTTGCATGAGGGAGACGGTGGTCCGATCCCGTTTGAAATTTTGGGACAACAGCGACATCGGTCAGGCAAAACCATCGATTGAATATGATGTGGTCTATTTCGTTGTGGAATCGTCCACCGGGAGACTCCCATGTCCATCGTTTAGATTCTGCCTTCTGGACCTGTGAGTTACCATGAATGGTCTTGGTCGACATGATGAACTCAGACAGTCTCTCACCCTGTTCGTTCCATTCTAGGCCATGGGTCCTGATGTGAAGTTCTTCAGCTGATCTTCTCGGTCCTATCTTGGCATTAAAATCACCCACAATGATCTTGTAGAAGGTGTGGTCTTCTTTATAGAACTTCTCTAGCTCCAGGTAGAACTTCTCGATTTCTCTTTCATCATAATGAGATGTTGGTGCTAGACAATGAAGATAGAAACTGCACGCAGTGAACCACATCTATTCCACTACTTCCACTACCCAGCCGTCGCCACACTTCAGGACGGTTTCCGTACCTCCGCGGCTGCAGAGCAGCCATGCGACACATCATAAGACACTAAATACCCATCTTCCGGAATTGTCCTACTGTATTTGATAGGGTTCAAATATGGTAACACCTACAAGGGTGATTAGAGGTCGCCCCAAAAGCCTCTATCCCTCTCGGAAAGACTGGCAAGCTACCGAGAGTATTCCGCCCGCACGGAAGAGCCTGGCAAGCTATCCATTGTGTATTCGATATGCCAAAACCAGTAACTACAACTGGTCTCATTCACCTGACCCTGAAGGCTTCACCGACATGGCAGCACTGAGAAGGATGAGAAAGGAGAGGCTGACAAAATCTCAAGGCCGACCTAGGCTGCCACAACGAAGGAAGACAAAAATGATCGTCTGTACTTTCAATGCACGTACGCTAGCATCAGATGCATCCATCGAGGACCTGATGGTACAAGCACGAATGATCAAGTATGACATCATTGGTCTGACTGAGACAAGAAGGCACGAATCTCAACATGCCGTTTTCGACACTGGAGAAGAATTGTTCCTCGGAACATTTGATAAAAGAGGTGTTGGAGGCGTCAGTGTCCTTGTCAACACAATCTTGGCCAAGAGAATTGATTCATTCGAATGCCTAACAACCCGAATCTGACGTTTCAGGTATAACCAACTAAATATAGGGCACTTAAAGAATGACCAGCCAGCCTAGAAGTAATGTTGTTATATACCCCTGAATCATCAGAGACACTCCGGGCAACACGGCATTTATAGCAAACAGGAAGTGGCCTGATTCGGGAGCCAGCACCGTCCCAGCAGAGTCTCATTCGGGATGCAAGGGAAGGCCTGTCCTACAGCTCAGGGCACAGGTTGGAAACCCCCGTGGGATGCCCTGAGCCCCTTAGAGTGTGGCCCTTGCGGGAGGCACTTCCTGTGCTCCCAGAGGGGCAGGGAAAGAGCTGGTTCCTTGAGGGGCTGCAGAGACTTTCCCTCTGCACCACTTCTTCCTCACGCCACAGCCGTCATCCCCGACAGGGAAGCGATGGAGGCACTCGGGCAGTGCAGAGGCCTGTCCAAGCCCAGCCACGCTATGACATTACAAGGAAAGAGCAATCAGTTTTTCTATGTGTCTAAAATATATGGATTGTTGAGGGCAAATGTCCCACGGTGATAACTCCAGTAGGGTCCCACAATCTGCCTGAGAAGAGAAGACTCTCTGTCGAGTTCTTAGAGTTCCCTTCCTTCAGAGCGGGATGGATTCAGGGTAGGCAGGTGCGCTGGTGTGCGCTGAGTAAAGCTTTGTAATTTCAAGATCAGTGTATCAAGATCACGGGAATGTGACCCTGTGTCGGATTCAGGGATCTTGAAAAGTGCAAATAAATCAGGATCCTGAATTTGAAAGTTGCAGCCAATACTTATGGGCCAATTAAATGGAGCCCCACATCTCCCCTCTTGAGATGTGTACTTTCACGCTTTCGTGTCTAATGCTAGGATGTGCTCAAGCAAACACGGCTCTCTCCGCCCTTGGAGAAGCCCGTGTTCTCTTGAGCATGTTTCTCTCTCTCTCTCTCTCTCTCTCTCTCTCTCTCTCTCTCTCTCTCTCTTTCATTCTCCCTCACTCTCTTCCCCTCCACACCTTCAAAAAACCTCCAAATAAAATCGGTTATATTTCACTGCTTGTCTACTCCTGAAATTCCTTTCTGCAAGCGAGACAAGAACCCAGTAACCCTCGTGCCGGGGGTTAGAGGGTGATTGGAAGAAGGTGAATGTTTTTCTCCCCGCACTCACATGAGCCACGCGTGGGATCCACCGACATCAGTTTTAATCCTAGATCCCGAGTGCAGATTTGCATGGGGGAGCCTCTGCAGAGAAAGGAGGGGACCCGCGGAGGCTGGTGTGTGGGCTCCCTGGGAGGAGGTGCTGACTGTGGCTCAGAGCACTCCGGCCTGTCCCTGGGGCCCTGTCAGAGCTGGGCTCTTCCTCCAGCTCAGGAAACGTGCTGAGGAGCTCTCAGGAAACAGGAATTGCTGAGGGGGAAACAGCAGCTGGGGAGGAGAGTCCCCGTGTCTCAGATCCCTGATGACCAAACCCAGACACCACCCCCCCAGGGCCTCTACATTGTAGACAGGCCCCTGACTCTCCTTGTCCCTGTGTGTTCACATCTATTGTCCCTCTGTAGGCTCTACTTTGTGGAAAACAGTCATTGTCATTTGTTCAGGCAATTCAGACAGAGATAGGTCCAATCCATGGTCAATAAAATTCTCAGTAGTTTATTCACATATCAACTTTGATGAAAATTCTTTCACTTGTAGCTGCTTCTTTCTGAAACATACAAGCTACCTATGAGCTGCATTTGTGAATTTTCTCCTGGCGATGAGTCTGTTGGGAAAAGGAAGTGCTTGATCCTAGATGACCTTTTTCTACTGTTCTTGGCCTGTCGAGGACACCTAAACCTGCTCTGCCCTGTTTATAACTCCCCACCCAGAAGAGAAGCCATCTTCCTCTGGGCGGTTGCTGAAGGACAGAGAGAGGTCCTGACCCTTTCTCTCAGTTGAAGCCTGGACCTGTGAGCCCCACTCTGTGTCTCAGACCCTGACTCTCTAGGGAGGAATTCAGGAGGATCAGCGTCCCTGTCATTTCCTCACCAGGGACAGCTGCCTCCCCCTCATTTTTCTGACATGTTCAGGATGTGGTTGTCACATTGTGTCACTTGTACAGTAATACACAGCCGTGTCGTCAGTGCTCAGCCTGCTCAGTTCCATGTAGGCTGTGTCCTTGGACTTGTCTGTAGTGAGTGTGAGTTGGCCCTGGAACTTCGATGCATAGTTTGTACCACCAGTGTTAGGGTTTAAGTTCCCCATCCACTCGAGTCCTTGTCCCGGGGCCTGCCGCACCCAGTACATCCAGTAGCTGGTGAAGGTGTATCCAGAAGCCTTGCAGGAGATCTTCACTGATGTCCCAGGTTTTCCCACCTCAGCCTTCGACTGCACCAGCTGCACCTGGGAGTTCATACCTGTGGACAGCAGACAGGAGTGGGTGGACTCAACTTGACTGGCCTCGTTCCCTCAGCCCAGGGCATGGGGACACTTACCTGCAGCCACTGCCATCAGGAAGAAAATTCTCCAGGCCCAGTCCATGGTGGGCACCGTGCACTCAAGGGCTTCTGAAGGTGTGGGTGTGCCTGTTGTGTGAGGTTGTCAGGACACAGAAACATCTGTATTTAACTCAGTGTCCTTCGTGGAATTTGCATATTTATGAGGAGGGAGAATTCATAGCTGAAGGCCTGGTTCAACCTGAGAATGGGTTGGTGGAAGCCACCAGGTCTGTCCTCAAAGGGAGTGAAGAGGTCCACGTTCTGATCCTTGTCCCAAGACTCTGTGCACACAGAGCTCCCCCTCCGGAGGGCCAAACCCTTTCAGGACCTTCTCCTCAGGTCCCCCACATCTGTATGGCCTGGACACATCTGGGCAAACCTGGGCTTTGAGGTCATTTCTTGAATCCTGTAACTCCCCAAAGGATACCACAATGAGACTACAAAACCATCGTCATGCTCCTGTGGTTTCCAATGGAAATATTAAGTAGTCCAGAAACACTCCCTGCATATAGGTTTTACTGCCTTAGCAATATGATAATTATTTCTCCAAAATGATAAGTGTGCACAATTTAACCTTCGGTGTAGTACATTTATTTTAATTTTGGTATTCTTTTATTCCCCTTTATTTCATTTTATTTTTTTTACAGTTGTAAATTTATAATTTTTTGTGCTTTGGTTTCAATTATACAATGATCAGATACCCATCCCTCCACCAGTGCCCATTTTCCACCACCATGGATAATATCCCTCCCACCCCCATCCCCCCATCCCCCCTGTCTCTGTAACAGGGCAATCCCCTGTGTTCTCTCTCTCCTTTTGGGTGTTGTGGTCTGCAAAAGAGGCATTGAGGGGCAAACATGTTCAGTCCATAGTCTACTTTCGACATGCATCTCCCCTCCAGGGAGGATCCTCCAAACATCCTTTATTTGGTGCTCCCTTCTCTATCTGAACTGCCCTTTCCTCTAGGATACCCGGCTGGCCTCTAAGTTATGGAGTAATCCTCCTGGTGTTGATCTCAGCTATTCTTGGGTATTAACCTCATACTTTGCTACTTTATATCCCCCAGATGAATGCAATCTTTCTGTCTATCCCAATCTTTCTGACTCATTTCACATAGCATGATACTTTCCATATTGTAACACTTGTATGTAAATTTCATGACTTCATCTTTTCTAACAGCTACATAGTACTCCATTGTGTAGATGTACCAAAGTTTCTTTAACCAGTCATCTGTTCTTGGGCATTCAGGTCTCTTCCAGTTTCTGGCTACTGTAAAGAGTGCTGCAATGAACAAACAAGTGCAGATGTCACTTCGACTATACATTTTTGCCTCTCTGGGATATATTCCCAGGAGTGGTATTGCTGGGTCAAATGGGAGCTCGATTTCTAATTTTTTGAGAATCGTCCATACTGTTTTCCAGAAGGGCTGAACCAGTCAACATTCCCACCAACAGTGAAGGAGTGTCCCTTTCTCGCCACATCCACGCCAGCATCGGTTGCTTTTGTTCTTTTGAATGTGGGCCAGTCTCTGAGGTGTGAGATGGTATCTCATTGTGGTTTTGATCTGCATCTCCCTGATGATTAATGATGTAGACCATTTTCTCATGTGCTTTTTTGCCGTTCGTATTTCTTCTTTGAGAAAGTTTCTGTTCATTTCATTGCCCCATTTTTGGTTGGGGTTGGATGTTTTCTTCTTGTGGAGTTTAACCAGTATTTTGTATATCCTGGATATCAACCCCTTGTCAGATGTGTATTCGGTGAATATCCTTTCCCATTCTGTAGACTGTCTTTGTATTTTGGTCACTGTTTCTTTGGAGGTGCAGAAGCTTCTTAGTTTAAGATAATCCCATTTATCTATCTCTGTTTTCACTTGCTTGGCCAGCGGCGTGGCATCTTTGAAGATACCATTAGCTTCAATGTCATGGAGGGTTTTGCCAACTTTATCTTCAATGTACCTTATGGTTTCTGGTCTGATGTTGAGGTCTTTAATCCATTTTGATCTTACTTTTGTACATGGGGTTAGGCAGAGTTCTGAGCCTATTTTGTTGCATGTAGCCGTCCAGTGATGCCAACACAATTTATTAAAGAGGCTTTCCTTACTCCACTTCACATTACTTGCACCTTTATCAAAGATTAGATGAGCATATGATTGAGGGGAGATGTCAGTGTATTCAACCCTGTTCCATTGGTCTGCAGTTCTGCCTTTGTTCCAGTACCATGCTGTTTTAATTATTACTGCTTTGTAGTACAGTTTGAAGTTCGGGAGGTTGATTCCTCCCATTTTCTTTTTCCCAAGAATTGCTTTAGCTATTCGTGGGGGTTTATTGTTCTATATAAATTTCAGGAGTGTTTGCTCCATTTCTTTGAAGAATGTCATGGGTATCCTTATAGGGATTGCATTGAATTTATACAATGCTTTCGGTAGTATTGCCATTTTGACAATGTTAAGTCTCCCGACCCATGAGCAGGGGATATCTTTCCATTTCCTCATGTCCTCTTTTATTTCCTGAAGTAGCGTTTTGTAGTTTTCTTTGTACAGGTCCTTTACTTCCTTAGTTAAGCTGATTCCTAGGTACTTGATTTTCTGGGGCACAATTGTGAACGGGATTGTTTTTTTCATGTTGCTTTCTTCTCTCTCACTGTTTGCATATAGGAAAGCCGTGGACTTTTGGGCATTGATTTTATAACCTGCAACTTTACTATACGAGTCTATTGTTTCTAGGAGTTTTTTGGTGGAGGTTATTGGGTTCTCTAAGTAGAGTATCATATCACCAGCGAATAGTGAGAGCTTGATTTCTTAATTTCCTACCTGAATGCCCTTAATATCTTTTTCCTGCCTAATCGCTATTGCAAGTACTTCCAGTACTATATTGAACAGCAGTGGAGAGAGTGGACATCCCTGTCTCGTCCCTGATCTTAGAGGGAAGGCTCTCAGTTTTTCTCCATTGAGGATGATGCTTGCTGTAGGCTTGTGGTAGATGGCTTTAATTATGTTGAGGAAGGTCCCCTCTATACCCATTTTGGCTAGGGTTTTCATCATAAAGGGGTGCTGGATCTTATCAAATGCTTTCTCTGCATCTATTGATATGATCATATACTTTTTATCTTTTCTTTTGTTGATATGGTGGATTATGTTGATTGATTTCCGAATGTTAAACCATCCTTGCATCCCTGGGATAAATCCTACTTGGTCATGGTGTATGATCTTTTTGATGAGTAGTTGGATTCTATTTGCTAGTAGTTTGTTGAGGATCTTTGCATCTATGTTCATCAGGGATATTGGCCTGTAATTCTCTTTCTTTGTGGTATCTCTGTCTGCTTTTGGTATCAGTGTGATATTTGCTTCGTAGAAACTGTTCGGAAGTGTTTTTGATATTTCAATTTCGTGGAAAAGCTTAAGGAGTAAGTCCTCTTTAAAGATTTGGAAGAATTCACTAGTGAATCCATCCGGTCCAGGACTTTTGTGCTTGGGGAGACTTTTTATTACCATTTCAATTTCCTTGATGGTGATATGTCTGTTCAGGTTTTCCAGGTCTTCTTGGTTCAGCCTTGGGAGTCTGTAGGAGTCTAGGAATTTATCCATTTCCTCGAGGTTTTGATGTTCCGTGGCATAAAGCTTCTCAAAGTACTCCCTGAGGATCCTCTGAATTTCTGTGGTTTCTGTTGTAATGACCCCCTTTTCATTTATGATTCGGTTTATTAGGGTTTTCTCTCTCCCTTTCTTTGTGAGTTTTGCTAGAGGCTTATCGATCTTGTTAATTTTCTCAAAGAACCAGCTTTTGGTTTCATTGATCTTTCGGATTGTTTTTTGGGTTTCCATCTCGTTAATCTCTGCTCTGAGTTTTATTATTTCCTTTCTCCTGTTCGGGTTGTGCTCCTTTTTTTGGTTCTTCTCCAAGCTCTTAAGCTGTGAGGTTAGTTTACTTATGTGTGCTCGCTCCTCCTTCCTGAGGAATGCTTGTATAGCTATAAACTTTCCTCTTAACACAGCCTTTGCTGTGTCCCATAAGTTATGGTAACTCATGTTCTCATTTTCATTCGTTTCTAGGAATCTTTTGATTTCCTCTTTGATTTCCTGTCTAAGCCACTCGTTGTTCAATAGTGCACTGTTTAATTTCCAGGTGTTTGATTTAGTTTTCTGTTTTTGTGTGTGATTTACTTCTAATTTCAGCGCATTATGGTCTGAGAAGATTGTTGATACAATCTCTACCTTCTTAATTTTATGGAGGCATGTTTTGTGGCTCAGCATGTGGTCTATCTTGGAGAATGTTCCATGTACGCTTGAGAAGAATGTGTATTCAGCTTTTTGTGGATGAAGTGTCCTCTATATATCTATTAAGTCCCTTTCTTCCATTGTTTCCCTCAAATGTAGTATGTCCTTGCTAAGCTTGAGTCTGGTTGATCTATCAAGAGGTGACAAAGCAGTGTTGAAGTCTCCCACTAGTATTGTGTTGCTATTGATGAATTTTTCCAAATCTATGAGTAGTTGTTTTAAGTACTTTGCTGGTCTCTCATTAGGTGCATATACATTTATTATTGTAAGTTCTTCCTGTTGTACAGATCCTTTGATCAATAAGAAATGGCCTTCACTGTCTCTTATGACCTTCCTCACTCTGAAATCGATGTGGTCTGATATAAGGATGGCTACCCCAGCTTTTTTATGGGACCTGTTTGCCTGTAGGATTGTTTTCCAGCCTTTGACTCTGAGTCTGTGTTTGCTTTGACTATTGAGATGCGTTTCTTGCAGGCAGCAGAATGTTGGGTTCAATTTTCTAATCCATCCTGCCACTCTATGTCTTTTAATTGGTGCGTTTAGCCCATTGACATTGAGAGAGATTATTGTTATGGGATTTTTTCCCATTGTTCTATTGAAATTTGGTGTATTTGAGGTGACTGTCTTGCCTTAAAGTAGCCCATTTAGTTGTTCTTGTAACCACGGTTTTGAGTCTATGAAGTTCCTGAGCTGTTGTTTGTCTGTGAAACTGTGTGTTGTTCCTTCTATTATGAATGAGAGTCTTGCTGGGAAAAGTATTTTTGGGGAAG